GTTAATATAAAATCGGATATCATTTTGTGAAGTGTCCGTTTTTAAGTTAAAATATTTTGTGAAGGGTCCGTTTTTAAGTTAAAATATTTTGTGAAGGGTCCGTTAACGGACCCAAATTTCTTCTAAACAGACCCCTGATAATGGAAACAAAATCACTCATATTTTTAATAATTTCAATTGACATATTTTAAATATTACAACTTAGTTAAGTATCACTTAGTATCACATTAAGTATCACAACTTAGTTAAGTATCACGCATTAAGTAAATTTAAACAATTCGTAAGTTTATAATATTTTAATTTAAAATATTGCCAGAAATTAATTTTTATTTACATTATATTTTATTAATTTATTTTATGAATTGATCAATTTATTTTATAAATTGATCAATTACTTATTTACAGAAAAAATTATCATTTAATATCAATAAGAATGTGCACACGATGTTTGTAGATATAGAAATATTTTCTTAGAATACTACATTTGGAAATTAAAATTAGAGAAACTTGGAAAACTTAGTTCGTTTCGAACCGTTTTTCTGTCTCCCCCCTCCGGAAGGGTTTATTCAATTAGCAAAACTATAATGAAGATAAACTAATTTGTGAAGGGTCCGATTAAAAGATAAATTATTTTGTGAAGGGTCCGTTTTAATGAAAAAATATTTTGTTAAAGGTCCGTTAACGGATCAAAATTTCTTTTAAACAGACCCCTGATATATATTATGATATTCAATTTAATCATAAATAACAGGCCTTGTTGACATAAAATAGGACTCTATAAATTATGTTCCAATAATTCCAATTTTAAAAGTTATCCGACGTCATGGACGCAGCAAGTTATTGAAATTATAGGAATAGGTTTTGGATGACCTAGAAAACAACTAAAAAAAGAAAAAAAAAACTTTTAATTTTCATTTTTTTAATTGCAAAATTTATAACCGTAAGATTTTAAATAAACTAAATAGGATCATAATATGTAAATTGCTAAGGGCATTTTCAAGAATTAAAAAAAATAAAAATAAAAATATGTGAAATTGCATGGGGTGGGTAAAAAAACCATTGGAAATGAAGACATTTTGTGGAAAAATAAAAGTTATGCACTAATTGTGCAATTTTTCAGCATCTTTGCACCCATATAGCTTAGTAGGGACACATGGATAAATGTGTTAACATTGCCTCGATTTTCCTCTAAAAAAGATATCAAAATAGGAGAAAATGTAAAAATATTTTATACATTGAATTTATGGATTTAATTAAAAATATAATTTTAACTTACCTATTGATATTGATTTTTTTTAAACTTGAAACTATTGTATTTTTTGTAAACTACTGATTATTGCTAAAAAATTATTTTTACCAATTATTAATTTTTTTACAGCAGATTTTTTTAAAATTGAAAATCACTACTGCATATTAAATTTCTTTAAAGAACAAAAATATGACATACTTGAGAAACTTTTTAGATATTTTGACTTAAAATAAAACTTCATTTAGTTAGATTTAAAACTCAACCATAAGTGCACAAAGGTTAAAACATAATAAATAAATCGTTTTCTGCAATTCTTTCTTGAACATTTTTGCACAGCAATTGATAAATTTAAATGATAACTTAACGTTATAGTTCTGATTTTTTTACTAACAAATTAAGGTTCTTAAGCTTCAAAATATGAAGGAGATTTACAAGGCTTAGCGCATTATGAAAAATGTGATTGCAATAACTAACAAAATAGCCATAATGTTGAGCGCTTAATATTGTTTCACATTCTCCATCATTATACGAGGATCAAAATATCTCTACACGCGATTATGAAACTTAATTATTCAGAGAAATTTTTTGAAATAAGTAGTAATATTATATTTATTTATTCAATTTAATATTCGTGGAGAGAATACAAATTAGGAGGCAAACAATTATTTACAACACACTTCCAAAATTACTTTGCAGGTTAAAAAAAAACATTTAATTAATTACCAAACAGNAAGGGTCCGTTTTAATGAAAAGATATTTTGTTAAAGGTCCGTTTTGTTAAAATTATATTTATTTATTCAATTTAATATTCGTGGAGAGAATACAAATTAGGAGGCAAACAATTATTTACAACACACTACCAAAATTACTTTGCAGGTTAAAAAGAACCATTTAATTAATTACCAAATACCAAGTTAAATTACCAAGAAATAATCATTTATGAAAGAAATACCTCTTTAAATTATAAGTTTACAAATTACAAAATACGTTAAAATGAAAACACATCATTACTAATTTTATATACAATCTCGTAATCTAATGCATATTTATTAGGAGGGGTATCATTCGTAAATCAAACAAACCATACATGTTCAGAAATTCTATAATTATCAATATATACCAATTAGCTACTATTTTAAAACAAATTAAAATAAATCATTAGATTTTTTTAAAATATAAATTACAACTGCTTACCAATTTCTATAGCTGGAGGGAGATTTGTTAGTACTGTTAACAGCAGCTTCACGTTGCTTTTTGTTTAATACGAATTCTTGGAGCCTTTGCTTGACTTCGGAAGAGGCTATTGCACCTAAGAGAGTTTCACACGATCATTTAGTATAGCTCCAAACAAAAGTTTACGTTAAAAAATCATATTTTAGCATACAACTATTGATTTTGGCAGAATTTATTTTAAAAGGTTAGCTTATGGAAGAATTTAATTTAAATTACAGAATGCTCAAAGAAAACTTAGAAGAATAAACTTTATAAGACATAAATACGTCCGATAGTTGCGGCCGGTTTAATCCGATAGTTAAAACGCCGATAGAAATCCGATAGTTTAAACCCTAATATATGTTGTTTTTTTTAGCCAACATATCTACGTATATTTAAATATTTTAGATTCATTCATTATTTTGATCATGTATTTAATGTACTTAAAAAGCAAGGTGTTATACTCATAATAGCTACTACGGCTAGTTGATATCAGAGTTTTAATAGCGCGACTAAACGTCTAGAAATATTGATATCTCATGATATATTACGACATTTTCTCTATTTTAATGAATAACAACAAATTTGCTTTGGTCAATCTTTTCGTTATCCAAAAAAAAAATATTATTAATTATGAGAGTTACATTCTGGATTTCTCGTTGCCGACAATAAGACATTTTCGTANGGGCGCTGGGCCCATATCCAAGAGGTCGTGGGTTCGATCCTCGCCGGCCGAAGACTCCCCGTGTAGTAAATGGTGACTGATGCACGTTAAATCTGTCGAGTCTCAAAGTCCTCCATGTTCCCACAACAAAATCATACCTCTGGGGGTACTGATCCAGGAGTTTCCTTGTCTTCTGGATTGGTTCAAAATTACAAGGCTAAGGAGTTGAACGGTAGTAGTCGTAAACCCATGAACTTGGGTCGGCTGTTCAACGACGGTTATAAAATAATAACTATCACCGATAATATTCACGAATTTATCTATGACGATAGTCATCGTATGCACTGTATATATAATTACATCATAATATTTATTATTTAATTAGAGTGCTTCAGTGATTTCACTGTAATTACTGTAAAAATTGCTATATATCAGATTTTTGTTCCATAACATGATTTGGTAAAAATGTACTTTGTGGTGAAAAGTACCGACACTTTATACCGTGATTTGATCTGAAATTTTTACAGTATATTCAACATTTTCCGTAAGTCAAGGTATTAACATGTATCGTCATACTTTTAAACAAATAAATAGGTATTATTTTTAAAATATATCGTTAAACTAATAGCTACTTTTAATTATTTAGGATTTCATTATTTACTTTGTTCGTGCTTTTCTTTTTTCTTCAACTGTTCTAATCTTTCCATATCTCTCCTTTCTTTCTGTTCCTCTTCCAACTTTCTCTGTTGGTCCAAATATTCCTATAAGATGATGTAGAAAGATGTAATGCTTATGTGTTTGATTTAAACAGGTTAACAAAAATCATTAGCTGTATAACGAAGCAATTAAAAAAAAAACTACATAACAGTGTTTTTTTAAAGGTTTTAAATGTAATAATCGTTTCAACTAAGGGGAGAATGTTCTAATGTCTATGAAAGTGCTTTATTAAAGTCTATCGTCCCGCAGTGAACTGATCGTCAGGACACGGTTCCCAGTAGTCAAGAGTCACTGGCTGTGGTCAGTAAGCGGGTGGGTGACCACTTTGATTAGCCTGCGCAGGGACTAAGGGTGCACGGTATCGTTCCTCGTTAAACTGCTCTACTAAACGTAGTGCTCAACTTCTCGCGCAGGTCGTCGGGCTACCAAAGCGGCCATCCCATCTGTAGAAGATCGAAATCGCGAGGACGTGTCTTCCGATCGTACTCAGGGTGTATCCCAGATCATTCCCGATAGCCCATTGTGCAGCCCTAAATCTACAAAAGTTTCATTTTTAAAAAATATTATAGATTGAAATCATAAGTAATTATTTTACTATTTTAACAAATAATAATAATAATTTTTCCTTAAATACTCTGAAAGCATTTCAGATGATTGAAAGGGTATAGGTATGGAAAAAATCAAGCTCGATGACGATTCACTACATTTCGGACGGTGAACTAAATAATATTGCCCCCTTACATGATCGAAGAAATAAAGAATTAGAAGTATTATTAATAATAGATTAAAGAATAGAATGTGCTCATAAACTAAATAAATTAAATGCAACTATGCGACGCACTTTTTCGCGATAAAATATTTACGACTAAAATATTAACATACATTTTTATATTTAAATCGCATTCTGATATAAATAGCGAATGAAGCACTTTTAAAATGAAGGAGGTCTTTGAAACCAATCAAGGGAAAAGAACGTTTATTTTAAGTGCAAATCAAGGACATATATCCGGCGAGTTGTAAACACCACAAGTGCTAAAGAAAATTGATGGCCACCTAAGAAATACAATGGAGTAGAGCCTTATCAGAAGTTCTCGTTTTTCCAACTCGTTTCTTGAAGAGGTTGTATGTAAAACTACCGAGGACAGGGCATTGACGCAAGATATGACGTAGAGCTAACCACCTTGCGAAAATAAAAAGAAGAAAATTCCCACACCATAATTTTATTAAGCATGGATTTGACAGCGAGTTATTAATTAACCTGGATCCAATTTAAACCCTTCACGCAGAAATTTTATAAAAGCACCAGAAATCGGTGACTGAGTTCAGTCACCAATTTCTGTAGTACAATTTTCCGTGACTCTTTACACATTTTTTTCTTTCTTGAAGAAATATGGTAATTATTTAAAAACACTTGAAGTAAAAATATGGGGTACAATTCCAAATTTTAACACTAGATAATAAAAGTTACTATTAAATATTTTAATCGAAATTTTGCTAAATTTACAGACAATAACAAATAACTGTTAGTTTTACAAAAGGGGTATATTTCCAAATTTTAACACTATATGGTAAAAGTTACTATTAAATATTTTAATCGAAATTTTGCTAAATTTACAGACAATAACAGATACCTGATAGTTTTACAAAAGGGGTACATTTCCAAATTTTAACACTAGATGGTAAAAGTTACTATTAAATATTTTGATCGAAATTTTGCTAAATTTACAGACAATAACAAATACCTGCTACTTTTACAAAAGGGGTACATTTCCAAATTTTAACACTAGATGGTAAAAGTTACTATTAAATATTTTAATCGAAATTTTGCTGAATTTACAGACAATAAGAAATACCTGTTAGTTTTACAAAAGGGGTACATTTCCAAATTTTAACACTAGATGGTAAAAGTTACTATTAAATATTTTAATCGAAATTTTGCTGAATTTACAGACAATAAGAAATACCTGTTAGTTTTACAAAAGGGGTACATTTCCAAATTTTAACACTAGATGGTAAAAGTTACTATTAAATATTTTAATCGAAATTTTGCTGAATTTACAGACAATAAGAAATACCTGTTAGTTTTACAAAAGGGGTACATTTCCAAATTTTAACACTAGATGGTAAAAGTTACTATTAAATATTTTAATCGAAATTTTGCTGAATTTACAGACAATAAGAAATACCTGTTAGTTTTACAAAAGGGGTACATTTCCAAATTTTAACACTAGATGGTAAAAGTTACTATTAAATATTTTAATCGAAATTTTGCTGAATTTACAGACAATAAGAAATACCTGTTAGTTTTACAAAAGGGGTACATTTCCAAATTTTAACACTAGATGGTAAAAGTTACTATTAAATATTTTAATCGAAATTTTGCTGAATTTACAGACAATAAGAAATACCTGTTAGTTTTACAAAAGGGGTACATTTCCAAATTTTAACACTAGATGGTAAAAGTTACTATTAAATATTTTAATCGAAATTTTGCTGAATTTACAGACAATAAGAAATACCTGTTAGTTTTACAAAAGGGGTACATTTCCAAATTTTAACACTAGATGGTAAAAGTTACTATTAAATATTTTAATCGAAATTTTGCTGAATTTACAGACAATAAGAAATACCTGTTAGTTTTACAAAAGGGGTACATTTCCAAATTTTAACACTAGATGGTAAAAGTTACTATTAAATATTTTAATCGAAATTTTGCTGAATTTACAGACAATAAGAAATACCTGTTAGTTTTACAAAAGGGGTACATTTCCAAATTTTAACACTAGATGGTAAAAGTTACTATTAAATATTTTAATCGAAATTTTGCTGAATTTACAGACAATAAGAAATACCTGTTAGTTTTACAAAAGGGGTACATTTCCAAATTTTAACACTAGATGGTAAAAGTTACTATTAAATATTTTAATCGAAATTTTGCTGAATTTACAGACAATAAGAAATACCTGTTAGTTTTACAAAAGGGGTACATTTCCAAATTTTAACACTAGATGGTAAAAGTTACTATTAAATATTTTAATCGAAATTTTGCTGAATTTACAGACAATAAGAAATACCTGTTAGTTTTACAAAAGGGGTACATTTCCAAATTTTAACACTAGATGGTAAAAGTTACTATTAAATATTTTAATCGAAATTTTGCTGAATTTACAGACAATAAGAAATACCTGTTAGTTTTACAAAAGGGGTACATTTCCAAATTTTAACACTAGATGGTAAAAGTTACTATTAAATATTTTAATCGAAATTTTGCTGAATTTACAGACAATAAGAAATACCTGTTAGTTTTACAAAAGGGGTACATTTCCAAATTTTAACACTAGATGGTAAAAGTTACTATTAAATATTTTAATCGAAATTTTGCTGAATTTACAGACAATAAGAAATACCTGTTAGTTTTACAAAAGGGGTACATTTCCAAATTTTAACACTAGATGGTAAAAGTTACTATTAAATATTTTAATCGAAATTTTGCTGAATTTACAGACAATAAGAAATACCTGTTAGTTTTACAAAAGGGGTACATTTCCAAATTTTAACACTAGATGGTAAAAGTTACTATTAAATATTTTAATCGAAATTTTGCTGAATTTACAGACAATAAGAAATACCTGTTAGTTTTACAAAAGGGGTACATTTCCAAATTTTAACACTAGATGGTAAAAGTTACTATTAAATATTTTAATCGAAATTTTGCTGAATTTACAGACAATAAGAAATACCTGTTAGTTTTACAAAAGGGGTACATTTCCAAATTTTAACACTAGNTTTCACAGCATAAATTAAAATTTTTAACCCCTTAAAGTTAAAAGTTTAACCCTCTAGGTCTCTGCTCATTATTATTTTTACTCCTAAAATATCACTACTATCACTTGATCAATAAAAAAATATATCACAACTATGATAATATGTATAATTAACTGTGTTTTAGTTGAATTTATGAACTGTTACAATTGACCCCGTAAGTGGGGACAATTGTAACAAGTGAACGACTGTCAAAAATTGTTAATAACTATTATAATAACATTTAAAATAAGGTTTTTTTTTTCTAGTTGAGGATAGTCTACTTTACTCGTCTATCAATTAACACTAATAATATATTGGATTTTTTGTTAGTTAAAAATAGTTAAGTAAAAAATGTTACAATTGACCCCACTCTCCCCTACTTAAAGTATCAATCAGGATGGATAAAGCTAAATTAGACCAGAAAATAATACAAGGAGAAGAAAAAAATTTCTTTTAATAAATAAAGAAATAGTTATAAAAGGTTTTAGAATTAATTGAGTATCAGCATGAAATTAGCGAAAGTGAGAATTAAGATAAGCAAGAAAATATTGAAAAAAAAATATTTTTCGATCTAAACATGTTCAGTTGATCGCTACACATTTATTAAATAGATATATATTTTCAACATGAAATTGGTAATACTGCTAGTGTATTAGTTGTATAACAGTATTAATTAAATTTTTTTTTATTTACTACATAATTCTTATGATAATTACAAAGGCTAAATGAGGCAGAAATTTCGGCAAGACGTTTGTACAATGTTTTATTAATTTAGCTTATTATCTCTAATCCATAAATAAAATATTATATAATACATTGAAAATAAAGACATTAAATTACAATCTTTGGAGCTGGAGGATACAAACAAAGAAATTTTAGTTATAAAAATTTCATTATGCAAAAATAACTTGAACTATTATGTTTTTCTTAACTAACAGGACAAAAACTAAATGATCAAATGCACTCAGTTGTTTTAAAATCATAGAAATAAAATCAATTTGTCAAAAAAAAGTATTAATAATCGATTATTTAACGATTAAGGTTCATTAACTGAAGACGAACTACGACGCCTAAAAACCAAATGGCATGAATGTTTTTTTAGTAATATAATTTATATTTATACCTATTTCGGTATCACAGATTCATAATCCATTCTCACTTTTTATTATAATTTATATGATATAATAATAAATAGACTTTAGATCAAAAATATATCACAGCTATAATAAAAATTGAAAATATTTCACATTATTATTTGTACAAATAAAATAAAATGCTATTTCTACCAGTTTTGCTACATGAGGTATCTAAAAACTTTAAATAAGCAAAGCAATTAAATAAGCAATTCATGATATTGTGTTTGCTAGAAACTACTGAAAAACACTTTATTAATTTTTCTCTGAAAATGAGAGAAATTAAATTTAAAAAAAACTTAAATCGGGAAATTTCCTTTAAAATATGTCTAGTTTTGTCGGTAAATGCATATTCATGATATTTCTACAAATTAAAAATCTATTTCGACAGATTAGTTTTATGTTTGGAAAATTATAAAAAAAGCATAATTTACATTATTTGCTTAAATTATAAAGCTAAATAACCAATATCAGTAAAACTTCACATCTTATTAAAGTTAAACATTTCTATTATGAAATACAAATGAAAGTGAATGTGCTTTTCAAACTCTACTAACCATTATAAAGCATCTAAATAAATAATCTTTTAAAGGAAAGAGACAATAGCTTAATAAATTGTCTAACTCTTCACAAATAATCAAATGCAGTCAGCTAACATAACGTTTCGATCACGCGAAACGCACGCCTCAACGGAACAAAAAGCGAGAAATAAAAATAATAAAAAATTTTAAAAATATATATATGTTTTTTTCCCACGCTTTCACTTTTGTGATTGCGAACGTTTTTCGTCTTTGAAGTATTTCGATTGAAATGGAACATTTATGAAACACTAGAAGTTCTGCACGAAACAAAATAAAATATAATTCAACAACTGCATTTTAAGAATTCAAAAATAAGCAGGGAAAGAAAATTAAACATACCCTTTCTTTGAAGGTGATTAAAGTGATTATTAATCTCCATTGTATTGTGATGCCCAAGATTTTCTGGAAAGAGAAAAAAACCCAATATAAGCATAATTTTGAAATACAGTTAAACACAACACAAACAAAAATTTCCTTATTCAACTGTTACAAAAATGCCAATAATATATGTATACAAAACAAAAAGATAATTGTTATAAATGATATGAAATGTTACATTCATTTACCGAATAGTAAGCTTTTAAGTTGGCTATTTAAGTTACGATGCCCAAGTATATCTTATAAAAGGTAATGAAGCATGTAAAATTTTGTTTTAATATTTAACAACAACAAAAAATTTTTTTTCTGAGAAAACAAATGCGGCAAGATATTTAGGTTTTATTGGCCTTCTTTTCTGTGTTATACGTACTTCAAAAGAAATATTGGGTTTTCTAAAACTATTTAAGTTTATTTTTAGAAAAAGAAAACAAACGGGAGATCGCAGTATTATTTTATAATAAAATAATAGGAAAAAAATTGCAATTGGTTAAAATTGCAAAGATTTTAAGGAATCTAAAGTTGAGCGTCACTGAGGAAGTAGAAGTATCAGACTTATTAGGACTTAGTTTAGAAATGTCAGACGGGAAACAGAAAAGGAATTAATTTAAACGATAATGACTAAATGTTTTGCATGCTAATTTTTATTTCATTGTTTTTGCAGATTTTTTTTATCGAAACTGAACAAAGAAATATGTTTTACGTGCACTTTGAACAAAATTTTACAATTGCACCCAAACAAAATTTACTAGGAACTAATTAAAAAAATAACTATTAAAAGTAATGTTTAAATTAAATAGTTAATAAAATGAATATCAATAAGTAACTGCACATATTCAAATACCAATGAGTAAGTAAAATGCAAGCCAAGTATAGTTATAAAAAATTGCTAATGGAGTTAGGTATACTTTTGACTATTTTAATTTTTGTTTAATTTGTAACCAAATTTGAAATTATTTTGTTAATGCACACATCTTATTAATGAATATAAAATTGTTCAGCGAAGCCGTGCGCTTATGACACTATTATAGTACTACAGTAATTAAAAAAACCTAGACATAATCACTCCTTAATTAATGTTTTAAAACTTTCATATACTGTGAAAAATAATCTAAAATGCACATAGCTATATTTAAACAGGAAAGTGATTTTATTACGTAATTATATACTTTGTCATAAAACAACACAACTTTAATAATGAATTTGTACTTTCAACAGATTTCATTAAATGAAATAGCATTTTTAGCAAATGATGCGTAGTTTCAAATTTTCTGGCACACATTCAGAAAACAAATATATTTATGATGGATCTTTCGCCATTTCTCGCCGTACTTTCCTGATAACCACAGAAGTTCAATGGCAGACGCAGGATAGATCTCACATTATCGCCAAAGAACACTGATTAGATAAAAATGAGCCTCTTTTGCAATCATTCTCGTTTCTATTTTATTTGTAAGTAGCATGAGATAGATAGCATAGGAGACTAAAATATGTCCTTTTTTAATCGCACTGAGTTTGTTTTTATCAGTATATTAAATAGAACAAACAAAGCTGATTAATGAGACGTACGTTTTTAGGGGGTGTGCCGAATAATGACGTGCCTTCTGCTTGTTTTCTTTCTTGTTCGAATATCACGTTTTTTCGCCACGTTTGTCTTTCTCTTATTTTTATTTTTATTTTCATTTCTATTCATCGTTTCAGAATTACATAAAAAGAATGTAAGCAACACCGGAATTCATTTATAACAATGCAAACACACGTGCACCGGGATAAAAAAAATGAAGTAAATAACAGCAAGGCTGTTGTTTTTTCTTGCATAACAGAAGAAGAAAATGTGATACTGCGAGGTATCTTTGATTCTAGAGTTATTATTGCTTTTGGTCATATTGGAGTGACATATTAAGACATGGGCGGCTTCTCTTTTAATAAACTGACGAATTTAGTATACTTTTTTTTAATCAGGAAATAGATCAGTGAGACGTGATCAACATAATGATTTATTTTAGGATATTATTATTACTTATTTTTTTTACTAGGTCAAATTTTTGAAAAAATATATATGTTTTTATTTTTCCAAGATACAAATAGCTTTAATATCAAATTTCTCGAAAAATCAACTAGATATATTACTTGGATCATGATTCAGAATTATAAACAGAAAGGTTGTTGTTTTTCTTAGGTAACAGTAGAAGAGAGGTTGCAGCAGTAGAGTAAATACAAATTTTGAACGAATTTGCTTAAATAGTTACAGTTATGGTTTAAGAGTTTATATACCTTTTAATTCAAAATTATTTCAACTCTTACTAAATAATAATCAATAATAAACCATTATTGAAAATTAATTTTTACATGGAATTTACTTGGTATGAGCGAATTTTATAATTGAAGGAAAAAATCATTCGTTTTGCTTAAAAACTTTACGAGATATGGAGGAATACGAAAAGTATTCCTCCATATCTCGTCAACTTTCAATCCTTAACTTAAGATCGTTTTCTAGACTAAATTATTGAGACCATATTTTCCGAATTGCGGCAATCCCCTCTATTTTAAGGGTCAAAACTCGATCAAATAAAAGGTATCTTTACACAAAGAAAGTTTTGTATTTGATTTCGTACTAAGAATTATCGTCTGCACTAATTAACGAAGGTTCGGCCCTCGAGCAATCAAAATTGCAAAAAAGTATGTAAAAATCTGTGACTGATATATCAAAAGTTCCACACTGTTCAACTTTAGTTGCAGTGAAAAGTTTCTTTAAAAATTAGCTAAAATATTAGTTCATGGTTAATTTACATACAGAATACAATTAAATTAATTTTCTTGTATGGCATAACAAAAATTATATAATTCGAATACAAAATGATGTTTAAAGTTAATAATAATGTTTTTAATGTGCGATCTGTCAAGAAAAAGCAGCGAGGTTGATACCACAATAATATGATTTCGCGACATAATCACTTATTGCACAAAATTTATACAAAAACACGTTACTGGATGCTTATCAACTTTTCATAACGTAAATATGTGTACGTAAAAAAGTGTTGAAGCCGGTATGTATGTTGTACCAGTAGCGCCACCTACATTAATTAGAAAAAAAGTTTTTTCTTAGTTGGTTTCATTGCGTCTACAGAGACTGACCAATGCGCTGTTTATAATAAACGCATTAATTATTAATCTGCAGTTCATTATTTTTGTTGTCATTTATCAAAAAATCCGATCAACACTATTTTCATGAGCTCGTAATACGAACCACGCAAAACCACCTAAGTAAATCAAAGACAAAATATTAATATTGAGAACCATATGATAAGTTGCTTGGAAAGTAATAAATATGTAACCATAGATTAAATCAAATTATTCTATCTGAATAATACAAAAGCTCAGACATCATTACAAATTTCATAACTTAATAGAAAAAAGTTAACTTTACATAGAATGCAAGAAAGTAGGTTTTCTCAAATATTTTGGCCAGAATTTTTAATTCACCGAATAAACATTACAAGAAATTGTTTCGACATAGGGTTATTTTCACTTAGAGCTACGAGGAGATTTCACAATAAATTCATTTTTCACAATCAAAGAAGTAAAAGCACTTTTTTAACTAAGAATAATGCAATTGAACAGTGTACATTATTATTAAGACAAGAATACGGCAATAACTATATTTTTATTACCTTTATACGATAAAAAACTAAATCATCAATTATAGCAGATACTAAGGCAGCGAAACAAAGAAAAATGCCAGAATGGGATTCAAATTTATTCCTTGATTGTTTTCTATCAACGAAGCGATTAACATATACATCTAACTCGCTCAAATGTAATATTTAAATATAGGATTAACTTTTTCCTTAAAGACTGCACTGAATATTGTCATAACTACCAGAATATGGTAAGGTTTACCGCGTTCCTGGTTCTATGGGCACTTTGGTAATGAATTTGGAAAAATTAACAATAAAATATGATTTTATAACGTGTGATAAAATTTGGTAAATGAGATTTTAGTTATTTTATCATGATATCTTACAGAATGGCATAAAAATTAGATTAAATTTACTTTCAGCTGTGTATTTTTTATTTAATGAGTAGTAATAAGAACCATAATTTTGAAAAACGGAATTTAAGGTAAATCACTACCATGTGAACGGAAAAATTACCAAATGAATGGTTTGAACATCGTATATTTTGGTTTTATTAACCAGAATTATGTTGTTTTTTTCATCAGAAATGTCATTAACATAAAGTACCATAATCTAACTAGAATTTCTTTCTCCGCGTGGAAATAAATATAAAATATTTTCAGGAAAGTTTCGTTTCTATTTTTAAATGCTATTATGCAGTCCGTTTTCAAATTTCTCTCTAATCATTCTTTGTACACAGTTAAATACTTTTTTTTAAAGACCTTGGATATAATTTTTTCTATGTCATCAATTGATATTTTAAAACTAACATACATGAATAAACGACTGGACTTTTTAAATGATTAATACGCTACAAAAAAGAAAAGGTCAGTGTTACAATTTTTATGTATTTTAAAGCTTTCCGGGAACTCAAAAGGAAGCTAATATCAAAATACGTTGAAAAGTAATTTTTCTTTATAACGATTATAAGGTTATTTATACTTTTTCTCCAAAAAAAAAATTAATAAATAAATAAATATGCCATCACTCAGCATGTTAAATTTAACATTATTTTTAATAAATTCGAAGTTGCTATTTTATTACATATATTTAAAATTTCAATGCTTTAGCTTTATACAATCTTTATTATCTTGGTAAAAACTGATGATTTTTACTTTAAAATGGTCAAATATTTTAAATATTTAAAAAAATTATGAACTTATCAAAAAGTAGGTTATTAGACGAAATTTTAATACCTCCAATAAAATCATTAAAAAGAATGAATAATTTTCAATTTTTAGATCTTTATAACAGGATGTATTCCCAAAAAATGAAACGTTGGAATGACTAATCTAATATCGTGTAATAAAACTAATAAATGGGTCAAACACTTCTATTTTTACCTAATTC